CCCCCCCAAGGTCACTGACATGCGAACAAATCATTTTTATTCGTGAAAAAATGCCAAATTTACCAAACGTAATGCTTAGATAAGGCCAACGTATAGTTTACTTAGGCAAACAGCTCGGGCGCGCTGCGTATTAGATGAGTGGTTTGATTTGCAATTCAAAATCTGTTGACAACCTCGTTTTCACATTGTCATTTTAAATTTTGGAAGTTGTTTCACAATCGTCACAATAGGGCCATTTATACGAGCAAAAATAAGTGGTTTAAATACGTCGCGAATGACTCGTATATAAAATACTAGGTTGCATATAGTTAGTTATTGGTTAGTAGGTAATATTTAATATTGCATGTTGTATTTCTTGTAGTTCGAAACTGATCAGTATGTAGGTTTTACTTTGTTTGTAAATATTTTAACTTACTTATGTATAACACGGCACATTGAAAGTCAGCTTTTATGCTGAATGGCTACCGTGGGTAAATAAATTTTAATAATAATAATAATATATTTCTTTATTAAAATCTTTTGTGAAATTAACTTTGAAACAAATGATAAACCAATACCTATCGATGATGCTCTACCAATTTGCGCATCATGTTGCCTCCAGTCGGAGTGAACGCCTGAACATTTGTTTCAAATAATATATTTATATAGTTATCCACACAATCCGCCCAGATTAAACCATAAAGCTATTTCCGGTTTAGTGTCTATCCTAATGTACTACTCTATTTATAGATTTGCATAAATTATTATTATTACTGCGCAATATTCGTTTCAATAGCAAATCATCACGCAAGGTCATCTGCGATTTTAGGCGTCAAAAATCGGAAGATGGGCGGTCAGCATTATCCCGAAATAATCACGACTATCAATTATCAAACCTATAACCTTCAACTGGTGAAAGAATATAATTTTCAATATGTAGCGTGAGTGTGTTGAACATTTGCGGTTGCGCGGATCATGCTAATTTGGGTCAGCAGTTTCCTGTAGGATGTGTCCGCACGTAATATTACGTAAATACCTAAGTGTTTAAAGATAAGCTAAGGTCGCGCAAACCTGTACTATTAACGAGACGCCAGCTCGGGCGTCCACTCCGACTGGAGGCGACATGATGCGCAAAAAACTTGGTAGAGCATTGAATTCAAAAGAATCCTCCATTCAGTTGTCGTTATAAGATCAGTGGCCAGCATTTCAAATTGACGTCATAATTTGACGTCATAAAAGAGAGAGCAAACAGATTGAACGACACATAAATTTAAACACGATCGATTCGAATATGCATTGGAAATACAAATCTTCACGGAACAAGCAAAGTTCATACGGTTCCAACATGAAGTATTTCGAGTTAGAAACCGCTGGTTCAGCGAATGTAGCGAAATCCGTCGTAATGCAATAAATGACGAAAACATTTAAAACAAAAACATATTTAATACAAAGATTACTGTTACATATACAATTATCAATTGCAGATATATGTAAAATACAATTATAAATTGCCGATATATGACAAATACAATTATCAATTGCCAAAACTTAATATGTGAATATACGTTACTAATCAATCTAAATATTTATCATCATTCTAACAATTTAATGCATCGCATCAGTTTCGCGATTCCATCTTCGTTAATTAATTTTGTTCAATGTTTAATTGCTGCAAAGTTTAACAGGTAACAGCAATAGCGTCACAGCCTCGTTTCAGCCACGTTTCGCGCGATTTCGGTAAGTCTCCGAATTTTGTTGTTATTTGATTAATTTCTACATTTGACGCGATTTTTTTAAAAAATAAATTCAGTACTTGTATTGTCAACCTTTCTATAAGCTTTCTTTTCATATATTATTTGTAATTTTAATTAAAAAACTCATTAATAATTCATGAAGAAAACACAAAGAAAAATCATAAGCGTGTCGTATCTGCATATGTGATACAGATTCATGTTGATTTACATAAATTTTAACTTTGACTTTCTCGGCTTAGACAACGTTTATTTTTAAAATTACTTCGCCAATGAACTCATAAGATGAGTCGTTTTTTAAGTCATTTACAACATTCGCGTCCGTGTTGTATCGGATATACAAACTCTCGCCTTCGGCTCGAGTTTGTATATCCGATACAACACGGCCGCTCATGTTGTCAATAGTACATGTATTTTCTACACGAAAAATCTCTTGAAACAAAGCCGCTCCGAGCACATGTTATTATTAAAACAATCAACAAAATAGATAACAAAAATAAACTCAAATTCACAATCATGAAAATTAATTCGTAGACTATTGAAAATTTCCAAAATCCGCCCCCCCCCCCCCCC